CCCCCTTCCAGATGACTCCATCACTGCCTGTATGGGTATTGAAGTCACCCAATATAATTAGAAAATCCCCAGATGGAGCCCCTTCCAGGACACCATCCAGAGACTCCAGAAAGGCTGGGTAATCTGAACTGATGTTTGGTGCATAAGAACAAACCAGTCAGAACTTTCCTTCCTGCAGCCTGAAGTTACAGAGAAGCAACCCTCACATTCACCAAGAAAAACTCTAACACCGAGGCATTCAGCTGGGGACTTGTGAGTATCCCCACACCCGCCTGACACCTCTCTCCCTGGGCAACTCTGGAATAGGAGAAAGTCCAGCCTCTCTCTAGGAGTTGGGTTCCAGGGCCCAAGCTGTGCGTAGAGGTGAGCCCAACTAAATCAACAGTGGTGCTTGAATGTTTGTGAACCATTAAGAATTTTCTACATTTCTGCATAAATATGACACCCCCCTCCCCACCCCCCATCCCCACAGCAATAATTGCAACTAAACATTTCCAGTAATTGTTGATCAGTCCTGCTTACCGGCTTGGGGGAATTTTAGCCCATTCCTCTGTACAGAACAGCTTCAACTCTGAATGTTGGTGGTTTCCTCACATGAACTGCTGCTTCAGGTCCTTCCACAACATCTGGATTGGATTAAGGTCAGGACTTTGACTTGGTCATTCCAAACCATGAACTTTATTCTCCTTGAACCATTCTTTGGTAGAACCACTTATGTGCTTAGGGTCATTGTCTTGCTGCATGACCCACCTTCTCTTAAGATTCAGCTCATGGACAGATGTTCTGACATTTTCCTCTGTAATTCTCTGACATAATTCAGAATTCATTGTTCATCAATGATGACGAGCTGTCCTGGCCCAGATGCAGCAAAACAGGCACAAACCATGATACTACCACCACCATGTTTCACAGATGGGATAAGGTTCTTATGCAGGAATGCAGAGTTTTACTTTCTCCAAACATAGCTTTTCATTTAAACCAGAAAGTTCTATTTTGGTCTCATCCGTTCACAAAACATTCTTCCAACAGTCTTCTGACTTGTCCACGTGATATTTAACAAACTGCAGATGAGCAGCAATGTTCTTTTTGGAGAGCAGTGGCTTTCTCCTTCAACCCTGCCATGGACACATTGTTGTTCAAAGTTCTCCTGATGGTGGACTCATGAACATTAACATTAATGTGAGAGAGACCTTCAGTTGTTAGAATCTACTCAGGCGTCCTTTGTGACCTCACCAACTATTCCACACCTTAGAGTGATCTTTGTTGGTCGACCACTCCTGGAGAGGGTAACAATGGTCTTGAATTTCCTCCATTTGTACACAGTCTGTCTGACTGAGCATGTATCAGGATAATCTGTCTGACTGAGCATGTATCAGGATAATCTGTCTGACTGTGGATTGGTGGAGTCCAAACTCTTTACAGATGGTTTTGTAACCTTTTCCAACCTGAAGAGCATCAACAACTCTTTTGCTGAGGTCCTCAGAAATCTCCTTTGTTCCTTCCATGATCCACTTCCACAAGCATGTTGTGAAAAGCAGACTTGGATAGATCCCTGTTGAAATCAAACAGGGTGCCCACTCACACCTGATCATTCTCAGATTGATTGAAAACACCTGACTCTAATTTCACCTTCAAATTGACTGATAATCCTAGAGGTTCACATACTTTTACCACTCATAAATATGGAATATTGAATTATTTTCCTCAATAAATAAATGACCAGGTATAATATTTTTGTCTTGTTTGTTTAACTTTGTTCTCTTTATCTACTTTTAGGACTTGTGTGAAAATCTGATGATGTTTTAGGTCAAATTTATGCAGAAATACAGAAAATTCTAAAGTCTTCACAAACATTCAAGCACCACTGTATTTGGTACTAATCAACCTCACACATGAGCTCCTGCTCCTTACCCAATAGTGAGGTGATGTTCTGCAGCTCTAGAGCTAGTCTATGCCACCAGAAATTGGCATGGCCAAGGACCCTCCCTCACCTGCCATCTGGCATCCACAGCAGCCGACCTTAATGGACCTCTCCACAGGTTTTGGGTCCACATGGATATGGTTTCCTGATCTTTTTTCGGGTTTTGCATTTGCCTACTTTACCTTCCGTCTTTTTCCTTCCGAGCCCCGAGAGCCAAGACATGACCCAGCAAAGGTTAAGCATCATGTTACCAAGTCCACTCAAAACTTCTGCCTCAACTTTGACAACTTCACTCTCACTCCATCCCCACTCATTCATAATCTTGGTATTCTTCTTGACTCCACTCTTTCATTCGAATCACATGTCAAACAGATAACTCGGACTGCATTCTTCTATCTCAAAAGCATATCACGACTCTGCCCATCACTCACTTTCTCCACTGCTGAAATCCTAATCCTTGCCTTTGTCACATCCAGAATTGACTATTGCAATAACATTTTGTACGGCACACCATCCAAAACTCTCAACAAACTGCAACATATTTAAAACTCTGCTGCCCGCCTTCTCACCCACACCCGCTCCCATGAACATCACTCCTGTCCTGCAGAAACTCCACTGGCTCCCCGTCACTCAGTGTATCCATTTCAAGATCCTCCTCATCACATTCAAAGCCCTCCATAATCTGGCCCCTCCATACCTGACAGACCTACTCCATCACTAAACTCCTTCTTGTTCCCTCCGCTCCTCCCATGCCAACCTTCTGTCTCTCCCCTGTAGGACCAAGCTTCGAAGCTGGGGATACAAAGCCTTCTCCATCGCTGCCCCACCCTCTGGAACTCACTGCCTCACCAGCTTCGTGCCTGCTACAATCTCTCCACTTTTAAGAAAGAACTCAAAACCCACCTGTTTAAAATTGCTTTTAATGTTTAAATTTGCCCTTTTTAAATGTTTTACTGTGTGTTTTTTATTTTTTTTCCATTTACCCTTTATTTATACAGGTAGTCTCATTGAGCCACGAGAACTCATTTTCAAGAGAGACCTGTTTTAGGGAGCAGATGTTTTTATGGGTTATGCATTGTTGATTTTATTTTTTTTTATTTTTTACTCATATAAAGCATCTTTGAGTATTTAGAAAAGCGCTATACAAATAACATTTATTATTACTATTATTATTATTATTATTACTGTATCATTTTATTTTTTTTATTATACTTTGTATGCTAGAGCAGAGGTCCAGTCTGGTCCAATGTGGTTAATTTCTGGATTAAAATGTTAGACTGTGTAGTGCTGACCTGGCTCATTGCTGACTGGGCCAAACCTTTTGAACCTAACATTTGGCCAAACCAACCCAACCTATGACCCTCCAGCTTCAACCCAACAATTGAGTTTTTAAAATAACCCTGCAGTCTGTGTGAACTCATGGTTGATAGAAAGAACACAAACACTAACTTTGCAACAACAAAAAAGGTTAAATCATGTCATCTGGACCAGTTTCTTTAAGGGAGAAATGTTTTGTCTTCCATCCAGAAGACTTCATCAGTCTGCGGCCTGACAACCAGATCTGTCCCATAAGTAGCCTTCATGGTTGTGTTTCAAGTCAACCTCCTGTTGGAATCTCAGAAGCAGGCCAGGAAACTGGTCCGGATGAAAGGATTTAACCTTTTTTTGTTGTTATCTACCTGGATGATTGAGCCTACACACATTTATACTCACTTTGTAAGATTTTTTTAAAAAGCACAAATTTCATTCTTTTTACAACCAGGAAAAAAATAATCTTTTAAATTATTTTGTTTCATAGAAAAGTAATTTTTCTGTCTTTTACATTCATTAAACATGAAAAAAACAGAAAATACAGCTCTGCCAGTTTGTTGACTTCAGTATTAGGAATTCATGTCCTGATTAAATATGGAAAACTAACATGATAATTAAGCAAAACAAACTTTTCTTGTGTTTGATGACCACAAAACTTGTATTCTTCCTTTTATTTATGGGAAACTCTGTTCCTGTTCTCCTATAGGTCTGTGTGTTCAAGTGTTTTTATTCTTTTAGGAGGGATAGCCTGTTTTTCTTTCTTCGTAGTATTCATTTTAGCACTTCACAAGTTTTTCTCTTCAAGGAAATGAAAAGTTAATATTTTGGTGAATAGCTTTTGTTGGACACCTCACCCACTGCAGCCCTGCCTCTCTGGGTCATACAGTAACTGAAAGCATTCATGGACCAGGTAGAGTCCTGGTATTCTGGTCTCACCTCACAGGCCCAAACTGTGGTATTTTCTCTGTTTCTTTCCAGGACATGGCGACTCTTACATCAGCCTGTATTTCCTCCTTCTCCTCCTCCTCCTCTTCCTCTTCTCCCTGAGTTTCTTTCCAGTCCTAGAAATACCTTCCAAAGAAGAGGTCAGAGGAAGAGGTGGAATACTGTCAGAAACAGATTATTTTCCTAAAAAGGAAAGAAGAACTAAAAAGTAAGTAACAAGCGTTTGTTTCTTTAATTTGCCAAGAAAGCTCAGCAGCCAAAGTGACTACACTGGTCATTTGTGTCTGGGGGATAATTTGATTTAAAAGCTCTTGTTCAACGAGGAAACTGTTCATCAAGACACTTTATTCAAAACTTGTTTTTCAAGTAGCCACTTGAAAACACAAAAGTAGAATGATTGTCTTTACTTGGCCATCAAAACAAAAATTGTATATTAAACGAGACAATTGAACATGTTACAGTTTTCATATTTTATTTATTTTGATTTGTGTTAATTTTTGAAACTACAACTCTCACAACAGTACTTCTTGTGTCAAGGCACCACATTTAGTGGTACTTTAGTGGACTTCCATCAGGCTTTAAATTTCAGGTGGATATGTTGATTTGCAACAGCATTATGCCACTGTCAAACTTAGTTTTTCTTCTTTTTAGACATTTTAAAACCATCAATCTGACTGTTTTTTACTTTTAAGTATATTTTAGTGTTTGTTATAAAATGGGCTTTTGTTAAAAAAAAAAATCTCTAATTTAAAAGGTGATGATGGTGAGTTGTATTCCTTATCCACGTTTTTTTCTTTCAGGATAGTATTTTTTTTGAGAAGAAATGAAGGTGTCTGAAGTCAAACTGATCCCACACGTCATCTTCCTCATGCTGTCTGTTTCCGTTAAAGCCCAAGTCAACCCAGGTAGACTTTAATGTTCTTCTTGAAAACTGGCTGCTTTTAATGAAGAAACGTTTATCTGAACTTGTTCACCCCGAACACTGCACAAAACAACCAGCAGCTTGGAAATCTCTAACATTAGTTTATCCAATCAATGTTTAAGAAGACAAACTGAAAATTGTAGCAAGTGTTAAAATCATTTTAATTAACGAGTCTGAAGCTTGTTGATCCAACATTTAGGTGGGTGGGCTCAGCATGCACGATGTGTTTTTTGGTGTGTGTGCGTGTGTGTATGTGCATGCTTATGCATGTGTGTGTAAGTAGTTTACCTAATGGTCAGGAAGCAAACATGTTCAGAACAAGCAGACCTTTCACAAGCAAAAGGGGCAAAAAATGTAAAAAGTATGGAGGTGTATGAACGCGCACTCTCTCTCTCATCCACACATGCGCACGTGTGCACTTTTTTCACCCTAGTCAAAGTCCTGTTTGTTCATAAGCTTTCTGTCCATGAAAGGTATTTTTGTGTCATTCAAAGTAAAAACAAATATGATATTAATAAAACAGTAAACAAAAGTAGAAACAAAAAAATAATAATCTGCAAAATTTAAAAGGTGCAGATGCAGCTTGTAGTAATTTGAGACTCCTTTTTGTGATCATCTAAGGCAGGGGTCTCCAACCTTTACGATCAAATGAGCCATTTTTGTGTCTTCGTTCACTAAACTAAATGTGTCCAGAGCCACAACAACCTGCTACAACTGTGGTTTTCAAGTGGTGGCCCGTGGGCCGCTTTACAAGCCACATATTATAAAGCTAAAAAATACCTAATGATTTTTAACATTTATTAATATTTTTACAATTTAAAACAAAAGAAAAGACCAGATTCTTGTAAAGAAGGATTTTTTTTTACCAAATTTTATTTATTCAAACAAACTATGAACTATGCAGACCTATGTGATTTTTTTAATTGATGAAAAAATAAGTGTAGAAATAAAGCATAAAGTTGAAGTGAGTATTTTACTCCTTGTATTAGTTCAAGTAATGACATATTTGCAAAAGAAATTACCAAAAAGTTGAAAAATTAAAACAGCTAAAACTGGCTTTATTTTTGTTTATATAACAACCAATAAAATTTAGTTTTATGTCAGTTTTGGTCAAAGCTTGAAAGAGCCGCTGCAGACGGACCAAAGAGCACATGTGGCTCCAGAGCCGCAGATTGCAGACCCCAACAAAATGCCAACTCATTGATGCAAATTGTATAGGTAGATAAACAAGAACCAACATTAAAAGAAATGTTTAAGCAGCTGCTCATTAGGGTCGCCATGGTAACCACACAACTGTGTCTTTCACTCCTTCACTGCACCCTTAAAAAGACAGGAAGACAGAAAATGAAACTCAAAGTCTCAGACAGAAAAATAGCTATGCAAAAATTATAATTTATATTTGAAAAATCCTAAATGGTAAAGGTTATTGTTTAATCATCACACTTCTGTTTTTATAGAGAGGATTTTTGTCTAAAATATGACAAGTTAAAATGAGCTTCCGCTTCCAGTTTGAAGAGAAATTTCTTAGATACAGTAGAAGTCAATGGGAGTTTGGATCTGCCTCAAAAGGCCATAAGTCCTACAGCAGTGAGAGACACGCTGGGTGAAAGAGGACAAACATTCCTACATTTTGAATAAAATTGTTTGTTTGCACAGATTTTGGAAAGTTTTGACAGCTCAAAATAGTGGTGAACATTTCTCAAGAGTCATTTGGGAGCTTAAAAATCCAGCTCAGAGCTCAGGGGAGGACCAAAGACCCAGACCAATGGTCATTCTGTATGTTGCAGGTCATTAAACAGGGGAGGAGGCCTCCGTGTTCAACTGTCCTCCTCTTACAATGCTGTTATTGCTAGTATCAATCAGCCCCCTGTGAATAGCAAGCAACCATCAGGGTGCTAACGTTTGGTCATTAGGCTGATGTTCCTCCTTTTGCATGTGAACAACTAGTTCTGGCTCACACCATCAAACTGATTGATCCACTATGACAAGGTGCTATTTATAAGACTGAGTTTGTTGCAGCTCCTCACACTGAAGAAGTCTTTGGATACAAGATGAAATGTGTCAACAAGAACCAAAAAAGTTCATGCTCAATAATCCAGGTATACAATCCAACATTTTTCAGTCAGGTCATCCAGATAACCTGACTGAAAAATGTTGGAGTGTCAACAAGAAGAATCTATCCAGAGGACCTGACTCAATCTTGTTAGATTCTGTGCTAAAATTTACTAAAATCACAAAACTTAAATAGCAGTTCTGTAAAAATCCTTTGCAAACATAAAACACCAGTTCAGTCATGTGAAGTTCAACTTTTTATGACCTGCTTAAACTTTGATGATGGTGAAACATACTGAGAATGTGTAGTAGTAGAGCTCTAAAGAGTGCTGGGTTTCCTCAGTTGTTTAAAAATATATATATTTTAAAATATTGTCCCTTTTTTTCTGAATTTGGTTGCTATACAAGGCAGCACGGTGGCGCAACTGGTAGAGCTGCTGCCTCTCAGCGAGCAGGTCCCTGGTTCAAACCCCGGTCCAGGGGCCTTTCTGGGTGGAGTTTGCATGTTCTCTCCGTGCATGCGTGGGTTTCCTCCCACAGTCCAAAAACATGCATGTTAGGCTGATTGGTAACTCTAAATTGTCCCTAGGTGTGAGTGAGAGAGTGAATGTTTGTTTGTCTCGTTTGTCTCTATGTGGCCCTGTGATGGACTTGTGACCTGTCCAGGGTGTACCCCGCCCCTCGCACAGTGATTGCTGGACATGGGCACCAGCGACCCCCGTGACCCAAAATGGAATAAGCGGGTAAAGATAATGGATGGATGGATGGATGGTTGCTATACAATGTACTGTTACCACAAGTCCTAAAACAGTATCAAAGCATATGTTTTAATATTGTTTAAACGTGTTTTTTCAAAGCTCTGAATCAAAAATTATTGTCCAAATAGTAATAGAGGTGTCTGGAAGCACAAGCACCCTTAAAAATGGAGGCTTTCTGAAATCATGAACAAGTTAGGTAACTGACAGTACAGTATGTTGTCACTCTAACATCCTGATGCATGCTCAATAATTTGGGTAGATGAATCTAACAAAGCTGAGTCAGGTCCTCTGGACGTATTCTTCTTTGGTGAACATAGAAGAATCCATCCAGATGACCTGACTCAACCTAATTAGTTTATCTCTCTAATGTTTCTTCTGTTGTTGATCATGAAGCTTCCTCAAATCTCTGTGGTGTAAAATCATGAAAACACAAGAAAAATGAAGAGCAGCTCAGTGAACCCTCCTTTCTCATTTTGCTTAGACTGGCACCTACACACTGATTCCTCTGTTTGGCTTTAGAGGCCTCACAGGGCTGCAGGAAACTGGGCTGGGGGAGGGATGGGCCTGACCAATTAGCCTGCAATATATGAGAAAGGGGAAAAATGGCAGTAAAACATTCACATGCACAAACACATACAGTATATCTTATTCTGACCTGTGTTCATTGGTTAATCCTCGTGTGTTTACAGAAACGTGCCGCTATCCTCTGGGCATGAGCAGTGGGCAGATTCAGGATGAGGACATCTCTGCTTCCAGTCAGTGGTCTGAGTCTACTGCTGCAAGATTTGGAAGGCAACTTTGATTTTAACACCACAGCTCTGTTTGGTTTGCCTTTTAGAAGGGCTGACACGTCATGAATCAGCTTGCAGAGTAACCTCTGTGCCCTTCCTTCTCCTTTTCTCTCCCTCCTCTGCAGACTCGACTCGGACAATGGGGACGGTGATGGGGCCTGGTGTCCTGACATCATGTCGGAGGCTGACGACCTCAGAGAGTATCTCCAGGTGGACCTGCGTTCGCTGCACTTCATCACGCTGGTGGGCACACAAGGTCGCCATGCCGACGGCATAGGAAATGAATTTGCCCAAAGATACAGAATCAATTACAGTCGTGACGGCAAGAACTGGGTGGGCTGGCGAGACCGGAGCGGAGGGCAGGTGAGCATGTCTACAAACTGCATATCTGTTATTCAGTTCAATTTATTTAGGCCATTTCACCCTAAATACAGCTTGTAGTTTTAGCCAGCCATATACAAAGTGTGGGAATAGAGCAAAAAACCCAAAACCTTGATTTTTTTTGTTTTGTTTTTAGAGATTTCGTCACAGAAGATTTTCCAAATATGATAACAGTTGTTAAAATTACAAAAACATTACAGACTGTCATAAAAGTAACTCTGGAATTTTTCTAGAGTACTGTACTCATACAGATACTCTACTTTTTACTTCTGTTTCACAAAATTACTTCAACCCCTTTGCATTGGATGCTGACGACACTAAGAATCAGCCTGAACATGGATGGTCTTTGCAGAGTATTTGGGAGGTCTTCAGAAGCATTTTGGGCATGGAGAGGTTTAAGCATGCACAGATATGCTTAGTAGCATTGTAGTGGTTTATCATGGAAATGTAGCCTCTTGTGTAAAGTGTGGTAGAAATCACAGTTTCAAATAAACTGTGACAATCAGGGGGTCATCTTTTGTTTTCGAGCATGATGATGATTTCATATCATGGGGGGGGGGTCCTCCCCCATAATTTTTTTTTATAAAGTAGATGCCATTTCCTGCATGTTGGTGTATTTTAAGATGATTTTTACATCTACGTTTACCTACATTTGTAAACACTTGATTCAATAACTATTTTAGAGAGCGATGAGAAGTAGCCTGACCAACAGCTCTCCTTGTGTGAACAAAGCATGCTCCAGTTCTCACAAGCATCCTCACACCTATTCCAGTACTATCTCCATTGCTACTGCCTTCGTGTGCTTCAAGTCTTGGTTGTTTAGTTGTACAATGAGGAAACTTTTTTTTTTTAATGAAAGTAAATTGGACTGGATTTTAGACATTTTGATCACTGTCATTTTACAATTATTTTGATACGTGACATATGCCATGTGATTACACATCAAACATTTCTCTCATATTTTTAATAAATAATCAAAATTTTATTAATGACCCACTTAAACTGTAAAACTGATTTGCAATTTAGTTGTGCTGTTTATAAAACACATATTTAAAAACACATATTTCTGTGTTTTTAATTAAAATGCTCACATCTACTTTTAGGGGCAGAGATATTTTAAGGGTAGAAGCAGAAATGCTTACTTGAAGGAGCAGCTCATATGTGATATTACGAAGTCGTAGCTGGCTATTATGTTTAAAATTAGTGTTTTGGTAATTATTTTCAGATTACATAACCAATAGGTTTTATTTGTTTAAGGCAGTCAAATTTGTTCATAACTTTATTATTAGTAAGTCTGAGAGTTACCGGATCCAAGCAAACACCGGAATGCACCCGGTCAAAATAAGGGAGTTCCAGGATCCATCTTCCAGCAAGATCCGGCTTAAATTAAGCCCTGGATGTAACCCCCCAGAACTTGGATACAAGAGGTGAGTTAGTGCAGAACAAAGTCAGACAGCTGTTGTAACTGGCTCTCTAGTTCAAACAAATTTGTAATGGCTAAGAGTCAGTGTCTAAGATGATCAGACACGTTTGATTAGAGATAAATGTTGACTTCCACCTGTCTGTCAACAGAAAGACATAAACCTGAAACAGGCAATCCATGGATGCATGGGTAGTTTGTGGATGAGTGTTGTCTTGTTGCAAGGCTGTACCAGGATGCTGCCTCAGGATGGGCAAGACTTGCAGATTCAGGCTGTCACTGATGTAGTGCTGTGTCTGGATCCCTTGAATCACTACCTGAAGTCTTCCCCTATGACACCATGATGCCAGTAGAAATGCTGGTGTCTCTCTCCACAACAGTGGGAGTCAACACACCTGATGTGAATGATTGAGTAATTAAACTTTAAGACCTACTGAAGCACAGGGAAACAACCCAAACATTCTGAATAGTGACCCTTGAGAATCAGGATTGAAGACCACTGATATATGGTGTTGAAAAGAGTCCAGTAACTATATCTGAAGGACAGATGTTCATGCCATAGGGTTCGGTAATAATTAGCACCCAATACAACAGCACTCCCCTTGTGTGAGCTATAATGGGTGTCCAGAATCTTCCAAACATCTTTTGGGGGCCTTCAAGTACCAACTGGTTCCAACATCGGGTCACTACTAGCACCCCATATGTCAACTGATACAATATGATTACTTGGTCTTATGCAAAACCCAAACACGAATAGTTTAAACCCCATTGTGCTGCTAATGTTGTCTAATAGGTCAGTTAAGCATCTTCTGTGTGCAATGCATCACCAAGTTTTTTTTATTACTGTTGAATACTCTGGCAAAGCACAATCACTTCATTACTAATACAATAACAATATTATTCCACTTGTGACTCAGGTGGCCATTCTAAAAGTCCCAGCTTTTTGCAAATTGGGCCATTTCCTGCACATACTCGTCTCTGAATGCAGACAAAATTATGTCTTAATTAGGCCATTCCTTTTGAGTGCTTAACTTCCCTTGTCAGTGAGTGTATAAAGGTGTCCGTCATGAACAGAATATAGTTTTTCTTGTATGAGATACTTCAATCAATATTTAACTGTCTCTGCTTTCTCTCCTCTGCCAGGTCATTGAGGGCAACAAGAATGCATATGATGTGGTGCTGAAGGATCTCGAGCCACCCATTGTAGCTCGTTATGTCCGCTTCATGCCTATCACAGACCCGTCCATGATTGTGTGCATGAGAGTGGAGCTCTACGGCTGTGAATGGCTGGGTTAGTCAGAACTCATTTTCATTCAACCTTAATTTAGACAGGTAAATCCCATTGAGCCTTGACTTATTTATCATTTTCACTTTATGCGGACATTTTATTTTTTGTTTTTACTCTTTGTTGAAAATCTCGTTTTCTGTCCATACAATATACTTGTATGGACAGAAAACAGTAAGAAGAGCAATGTCCCTCACCTGGACATTGGTTACAGGGAATCCTAGCAATTCCTGGAGGAGGGGCTTATTGTCACCAAACACATGGTGACTGGGCCTCTATCCATGTGGCATGCTAAGGTTCAACCCAGATAATCAATACAGTATGGGTTTGCTCTCCTGTGGGCCAACTACCAGCAGGAGTGGCCTTAAAGGTCTGGTGCATAGTGCTATGAGTGGCATCCAAAGGTTTACACTAAATGTAGTTTATTGAAACTGGCTCTTGGGACGTAGAATGTTACATCTCTGATGGGGACGAAGCTTTAGCTTGGGTGTGAGGTTGAGCCATACCAACTAAATACAGTTGGACTCACTTCAATTCATGATATAGGTTCTGGAACCAACCTTTTTGCGTGAGGCTGGACCTTATTCCACACTAGAGATGTCCATTATTGGAGGCACCAGAATGGTGTGGGCCTACTTATAGCCCTCTAGCTTCATGTCTGTGCATTGGAGTTTTCTCTGGTAGATAGAGGTCAGCTTACCTGTACCTTTTTTTTTGGGGGGGGGGGGGGGGGGACAGGCTCTAACTGTTGTTTGTGCCTATGTGCTGAATGGCAGTTAGTTCAGAGTACCCAGCCTCTTGGAGTCCTTAGCAGCGGCGCTGGAAAGTACTCCAGTTAGGATGACCTGACTGAACATTGTTGGATTTGTACCAAGATTATTGAGCATGAACTTTTGGTGTTTTGAACCATTTTGGCATGACTGCCTCAGAGGAGTTGACGGGGGAGAGGGCGGGCCCCAGAAACCATCTTATCACCAGCAAACTGTTTTTCTTCCCACTATGGGAGTGTGGTATTTGTGGGACTCCAGTTTGTTTGTGGCTCCTCAGACTGAAGAAGTCCTTCGGATGAAGGATGAAACGTCTCAGCAAAAACTAAACCGTCCAGGTGATCTGACTGAACATTGTTGGATTTATACCTGGATTACTGAGCATGAACGTTTGGTACTCCAGCTAGGGATGCCATTGTGCTACTGGGGGGCTTCAATGCCTGTGTGGGAAGGAACAATGTTACATGGAGTGGCCAGATTGGGAGGAATGACATTTCTGATCTGAACCTTAATATTCTTGTATTAGAGTTGTGTTCTAGTCACACAAGTCCAATAATACAATTTGGGTTTTTTACCAGCCGTGGAACACTGGACCAGTGGGATTGGGGTTTCATTGCTAGAAGTCATTCAGTCCCTGTACAACTGATGCAAGAGTTTGGTTCACTTTGCCAGCAGTAAGTTTGGCCTCTTAAATGTGAGCATTAGACTCTGCCAAGACTGCCCATTATCACAGATTCTGTTAATAACTTTTATGGACAGAAACTCTTGCTGCATCTAGGATGTGGAAAGGGTCTGGTTTGGTGACCTCAGGATTCCACCACTATTTACAGATGATGTGGTCCAGTTCATTTCATTGTGTCATGATCTCCAGGTTTCACTGAAGCGATTTGCAGCTGAGTGTGAAGCGGCTGGAAATGAGGATGGCACTTCCACATCTGAGACCATGGTTTTCTTTTTGGAAAATGGTAGAGTGGCCATCCAGGTTGGGAGTGAGGTGCTGCCTTAAGTGAAGAAGTTAAGGTATCATGGAAGTTTGTTCACAAGGGAGGGAAGAATGGAGCATGATGATATAGTGCAGCTTCCACGGTATTGGACACTCTGTACCAGTCCATAGTGGTGAAGAGGGAGCTGAGCTGTAAGGCGAAGCTTTCTGTTAGCTGGTCAATCTGCAGTCCAAACCTCACCTATCATCATGAACTTTGGGTAGTGACCAAAGGAGCAAGATCTCAGACACAGGCAGTCAAAACAAAATAGCTGAGCTCTACTTTAGAGATAGGGTAAAAAGTTCAGTTGTCTGAGAGAGACTTGTAGTAGAGCTGCTGCTCCTAAACACTGGGAGAAGCCAGTTGAGGTGGTTCAGGCATCTGGTAAGGATGCCCCCTGAACACCTTTGTAAGGAGGTGGCAGGTCCAACTGGGAGGAGATCCCAAGGAAGACACAGGACTGGCTGGAAATATTGTCCCTTTGCTGGCCTTGGAGTCCTCCCAGAAGAGCTGGAAGAGGTGGCTGTGGAAAGAGATGTCTGGGCCTCCCTGCTCCAGCTGCTGCCCCTGTAACCCAACTCTGAAAATGACAGCAGATAATTGATGGATGAATATATTTGGATGCGCAATATTGTAAAAGCACACAAAATGGTCTCATGAAGGTTTATTTTACTTGCCCTCTACAGATGGTCTGATGTCTTATAGTCTTCCAGATGGTCACCAAATGATTTACAGAGGCCTGGATGTCTTTTTCAATGACTCAGTGTATGACGGCACATTGGCTGAGAGGTTGGACACTTTGACTAATCCAGAGAAGTGTATTGATCTAATTTATTTTTCAATAATAGTGATCGTTAAAATCAGAAATCGCTCATTTCTGTCTCTACCAAAATTTCCACTAGCAGACTGACGAAGGGCCTTGGCCAGCTGACAGATGGCACACATGGTTTGGGTGATTTTCTGCACAGCCATGTTCCTGTTGTGTGGCCTGGATATGACTATGTGGGATGGAGCAACAAGACATTCCCCAAAGGTTACGTCGAGATGATCTTTGACTTTGACCACATCCGGAACTTCACCTCCATGAAGGTACAAACTCCATGTGAGGGGCTTTGAGGTATTCAGCAGCATGAGAGTGAAACAGTGCACTATTTTTAAACTTGCTGAGCAGACACCACATTGATTAAAGTGCAGTGGCATTCTGGCAAAGCACATACATTTTGTCACTGCAGCAAATTTAATAGGCATATAAAAACTCTTTGTTACGATATATTTTAATTCAGAGGAATCAAAGCTTTGTGTATTTTTCAAGCAGTTTTGAGCAATAGCTCTCAAGACAAATATTTTAGACATTTTGAAATGAAGTTCTGTGTCGTGAACAATTAATACCTTACTTGTGGTAGTTAGCTGTTTGTGCAACCTCAGTTTAAGGAAAAGCTTTCTTTATAACACGGCAGATGAGCTAAAAGCTGGTCCAGATGCAGCTACAACCAAAACAAAATATGTTATTTTAAAGCAGTTCCAATCTTCAAAAGTGATTTACTGTATGTAACCGCTATTTTAGAAATTGCTTTCAATTTTGCATTTCTGTTATTTTGTCAGAAATATTATGAACTTTCTGCTGGATTCGACCCCAGACTGCATCAGATTTGTTACAGCTGGCTGCTTTTTGTGCTTACAGTTTACCACACAGACAAAATAAGTTGTCACAGGACAACAACTGGTTAGGAGGAACGGTTATGAATCAATAATATCTTACCTGTTGTAGATAGCGTTTTGAATAATCTCAGTTTAGATAAATAGAGTTAATATTTGTTCCTAAACTTTCCACTGAACCACACTTTAAAAGATCTGAGATACCGCAGTAAGTTTTCTCTTTTCTGTGGGCACAAATCTGATTCATTGAGTATTTTGTGGGCTTATTACAATAGTCCCTCGTTACTTCGCAGTTCGTTTTTCGAGGACTCGCTCTAAGGCGGTTTTTCAAAATAAGCTTGGACATGACGTACAATTGGCTGATTAATGGATGAGCTGCGCAAGTGGCATAGATTTTTTTATTTTGAATAAATGTTTAATTATTTAGCACCTGCTGCCCATACTGCAGGATAAACTTCCTGCTGCAGCTGATCAGCTGATCTCCGTGCAGAGTGGAGAAGTGGGCGTGGCCAAAAACACTTGCAGATGGCAGAGTGCAGCGGAGGCAGAGAGCTGAAATCATGACATTCTGTGCTCTTTTAGAGCGTTTAGAAACATTGTTTAGAATGTTGCAAGAATGTGGGAAGGGTTTAAAACACCTTTTTATATATATATATAGATAGATAGATAGATAGATAGATAGATAGATAGATAGATAGATA